ATGTTTATTTTGATCAGAAGTCACTTTTTCAATTATAATGCCTTAAGATCTTGAATATTGCATATGTCTTATACCCAGAGGCTATATACTTGTTGAAATAGAATATTCATGTTATTAAGAAACAACAGAGTGTCTCAAATTGCTAAAGTATCTATGCAGGATCTAGAGGATAGATGAGGGAAGAAGCACCAAAGACTGTCATTGGAACAGGGAATGGAAGGGGAGAGGCACTGAACCCTAAAGAAATAAGGTGGGGTCTCCTTCCAGTGACTCTCAACACACAACCCTCTCTCCGGCTCACTCCAACACTGAAAGGGAGTTGAAAGTGAGTGTCACAGATCACAGTCTCCTGGAGTTTTAGGATTTGAACTACTCCTTCACTTGACACAGACATGATGGTTATAGGTACTCTCTTTGGGCAAAGGGAGATTTATCTAGGCTTTCACCACTGGGCTCCATCATTTTGAGGAGTATTTCCCAATTGTGTCTTTAACTGCGCATGGAAAATGCATTTCCTCTTTGAAAAATCTCTCTCTCACACACATCTCTATTCTTTGCTGGTGCCTGAATATATGGCTTTGGGGAGTTCACTTCTCATTACTTCTGTATAAATCCAGCTCCTCTCTAGACAGCTTCATCCTGCACAATGAGGGGACTGGGGCACAGTTAGTCTTGACCTCCAGCAAAACTGCTGTATATGGACCTGAGTATTTTTAGGCAAAGGAAAATGTGGCTCTGAATTAAAGCAGGACTTCGGTGCCCTGCTATCACCTTCCCCCGCATTCTCCAGCCTGTGCCTCTCCACTAAGTTTGCCACCAATCCAGGGCTGAAGGATATTCAGGGGGATTAGCTGCAGCTTGATTTTAATTGGGATAGCCAGAGAGAGCAACAAGGGGAGCAGCCCCTGAAATGTTTGCAGCAATTACAGGTCTTAATGATGCAGAGCTGGAGGGCAGGGAGGCAGCCAGACCAGCAGCTCCAGACTGTTTCTGGTCGTTTGTGTGTTTGGAGCTGCAGCGCCCTCTCGTGGCCCCGATGGTCTGAGAAGGGCGCATCCCATAGTAATGGATGGGCAAGGTTTAGAGAGAATACAGACATGTGTAAGGGGTTGGGGTACTTGTGGATTAAGGGCAAGAAAAAGAATCTAGTGACATTTAATCCCTGCTTGAAGCAACTTTTACTCCATTTATTGGCTATGGTGGGGAATTTTTATTTTCCCTTGTGAGTTTTATTTTTTGGTCATTATCTGTGACTATAATTTTTCACCGTAGGATATGCTTTATGAAATTGTTTTACTCATTAACTTTTTACTATCCTGTGGGAAACAAGTTACCTCCACAATTTTTAAAAAGTAGCCATGTGTTACTTTTCCATAAGTTTATTCTCCTTGGTGTTAAAATGGTCACTCAAAATTTACCCTTTTTTCTCTCACTGAAGTCTTTTAAGACTTGATGTCACCATCTAGTGGTCAATTTGTGGAAATGCATCTCCCAGCCTCTCTTGAAAACGTTCTCAACCAGGAGGGGCTTGCACTAAAACATTGCATCGGATGGTAAAGTGCTTGAGGGACCCGCAGCCATGCCTCAGTGTCTCTGGCAAGGTTTGCATGGTGAAAATTTTAAAATCTTAATGTTGTAACCAGTGAATGCTGGCATTGGGCTACCTGTCGTTACCGGGAGCCAACTGAACAGGGACAGGAATTGAACCTGTAATACGTACTTTATTGCCTGAAAACCCGTTAAAACCTGTTAACCCCCAAAACCTGTTCTGACATCTCATCTCATGCCGATTTTTTCTGTGAACTTAACAAAGATAGTTAGCCATAAGTGAGCCTCCCACCACACAGCCTATCACAGTCACTGCCCTGGTCTTCATCATGTCCCCAGAGTTTGTCACCAACTTAGTCATCTTGACTCAGGTAAATCCTGTTTTCCTTGGCCTGGAAAAAACATTCTGTTTTCCTGATGGTGTCCATGTCCGGCACTTTCTGATGGCATCACTGGGGCAGAACTCTCAGTTCAAAATAAGAATTTTAGTTCAGAGAAAACAGATTGTTAATCACATAGTGTGTGCATGTAGCCTGTGCTGTGGTACGTGCAGACTCCTATATGGTGCCCTTCACTTTCCCCCTAGTCCTTATCAAGTTGAAGCAATGTATTTTTACCAATGGGTGGAGGAGTATCAGGATTTCATTCATTTTCCCAATGAATGAAAGCTTGTTTTTTAAGAAATCACACCAAGGATCCAAAGACCTCATCTCATCCGGACTTGTTCCCTCCCAGCCTGTGCAGAGGGTTGAAGAAGACTGAAGGCCTGGTCTGGGGCTAAGTGTGGACAGTCCTACCAGATAGTGGCTACTTTATGAACACCCCAAGCCATGGAGCATCCCGCAGAATGGAGTTGTGTAAACCTGAATGTCAACAAAGATTTCTACGTGGCTTAGAAGGACTTTGGGGCTAGTTGGTGTGGTCATTGTATCCCTGTGCCTCCTGTCTGATTCTTAGTTTTGAGTGCACAGTTGTATAGTTCTCTTATAACCTAGGAAGGGCTTGAGTTCAACTCTGGGTCGGTTATTAAACAAAATGCACATGTGAAATAGATGATTGTGTATTTATAGCCACTGAGTGAGTCCTTTGCCTTGGGCTGCAGAAGGAGCCTTATCAATGGAAGCACTGGGTAAAAATGCCTCATCCACGTAATGATGGTGCTCATCTGGGAAACCAAATGCTCAAAACGCCTCATGCTGCTTCCAAATGGGTTCATATTACAGAGCAAACGAGGGAGAATCAGATTGCTCCCTGAACCCCATAAGAGAGAACTCTTAGAAAGTCGATGAGTCGTGTCTCACAGTCACCTTCTGGAACCACTTTGCAAATCCTTCCAACCATCACCCCCAAAGATTCGGCCTATCAAATATCCCATCCTTGATCGGTCTAAGGGGAGCAGAATGAACGCTCTGTATCTGTCCACCATTTCCAAAAGCCCAATAATCTTTCCTGAAATTCTTTCATGTTTAGACTACAGCTGTACCACCAAGGGTCTAGGATCTCTTAAGGGACCTAGTACAGACACTTTCCAGCAGACATTACTTCCATCTTCCTTTGGAATTAGTAAGTCAAATGGAAAATCATGAAGGCTTGAAAGAGAATTTGATCAAGCAGTGCTTTCTCCTACCACAGGAACACACTGTTTTGTTTTTTTTTTTTCTTATATTTTTTTTTATTTATTTAAATTTTATTTTTATATTCCCCATACAATTACAACCCCCTTATTTTGACCCCAACCCCTCCTTTCCCCACCCCCCACCCTCCCATAGAGTGTCTCTAGTTCATGGTTGTTTGTTGATTTTGATATTTTCTTTCTTACAGTTATTTTTTTCCCTGGCCCCTTATTTAAGTTTTCTAGATTCCTGCTATGAGTGAGACCATCCGGTATTTTTCTTTTTCTTTCTGGCTTATTTCGCTGAGCATGATCCCTTCCAACTCCATCTATGTTGCTGCAAATTGTATGTGTTTATCTTTTTTGAATGCTGAGTAATATTCCATGGTGTATATGTACCACATCTTCTTGATCCAGTCATCTATTTTTGGGCATTTGGGCTGTTTCCAAAGCTTAGCTATTGTAAACAGTGCTGCTATAAACATAGGGGTGCAGGTGCTCTTTGGAATTGATGTTTCTGTGCCCTTTGGGTAAATACCTCGGAGTGGAATTGCTGGATCATATGGAAGCTCTATGTTTAGTAGGTCCAGAACTCTCCACACAGCTCTCCATAGTGGTTGGACCAGTTTGCACTCCCACCAACAATGCAGGAGAGGAACACACTGGTTTTTGTTGTTGTTGTTATTGTTGTTGTTGTTGTTTTGGTAGCTATTTCCCGTGTTTGTCACCAAAAATAAAATAAGAACTTTCCTCACTACCTTCTATTCATCAATGAAGGATGATATGAACCCAAACTTTTGGAGTAGGCCTTTTTGAAAAAGTCAAAATTCCCTCCCCACATTCAATACATTGATTAATAATTGAAACAGAGAAATCCTATTCTTTTCCTATGACATGAAGTCTTTGGAATCAGGCAAAACTGAATTTATTTATTTATTTATTTTCAATATTTTTATTTTGACAATTTTTTTAAAGATTTATTCTACCCATACAAGAACCGGGTACAGGCCAGATGCGTGGGAGGGTGAGAGAATTCACCAGAGAGAGAGTGGGGAACAGAACAGGCAGATGGACTGAAGACACTGCCGAGGGGAGCAGCGGGCACGACAGGAGAGGTCTGCCTCGCCATGTGGGATTCTCGCCAGCTGTCCGGGATCGAACCGGCACTGCAGAGGCTGCGGACAGCTTCACAGTGCTACGCTCAACGGCCTACGCCACCAGGGAGGCCCCCAAACTGAATTTAAATTTCAACTTTCAGACTATGTTAACCATGTGCTCTTAAAGTGCTTGACCTCCCTTTAGTCATCTATAAAATGGGTGTCACAAAAAAAAGTATGAAAAAAGGGTGTGAGTCAATTTCAATCATAGCACAGGCTAGAAAGAGCTTACCTAAAATTTCAAAAACTACGATGATGATGGTTTAATGTGTGCTATTGTTTATGTGTTTAAAAAACACTTTGCTGTTTGTCCATTATATCGTGTAGAAGTAGGTATTGTTATTATCTTTATTTTGGGGACAAAGAAACTGAATCATAGAGCACACTGCTGCTACTGTTTGTCACACATGATAGTGGTCAGCACAGACTGAGCGGATCAGGGGAACTGATGTCTCTCAGAAAGGGAACATCTAGTCTTAGGTTTGGAAGTGCCATTCCCAGGTTTACTAGATACTAAGGGGATGGGTTTCCCAATGATGTAGGACAACAGACTCACACTCTTACCTCCTGGTTGATATTTTCTAACCTCTCAAGCATTGGCTTCCAGCACTTAAGGATTTCAAGGTCATGCCAATGCTTGCTTTTTCACTTCCCTCACTTTCTTTTCATTTCATGTCCGGCAGGCAACTCCCCATCCGATGAGTCAGAGGAGCGGGAAAGAGACCCCAAGGTGCTGACGTTCCCGGAATACATCGCCAGCCTGTCAGAGTCTGGCACCAAGCGCATGGCAGCTGGAGTTCGCATGGAGTGCCAGAGCAAGGGACGATGCCCCTCCTCCTGCCCCCTGTGTCATGTCACATCCAGCCCTGACACCCCTGCTGAGCCAGTTCTGCTGGAGGTGACCAGAGCATCCCCCATCTATGAATTAGTGACCAACAACCAGACTCAGAGGGTAAGAGGCCTGGGATTCCAGGCTCTGGGAGACACGGACAACAGCAGAGGACTTTCCAAATGCCCTGAGGTCGTGATAGGGTGCAGTTGAGCTCCATATAAGAATATAGATAGTAATACTTTGTTCAGCTAAACCAGGCACCTAATTTGCTTAGATTTGCATATCTGCACATTAAGTCAGATCAGTGTTGCCACAATACCCACCACTACTCTGGAGTCACAAATCCGCACTTGCTGGGAGGAAGGGTTGGGAGGAAGAAAGTAGCTGGGCAGAGCATTTGCAGTCACCAAAGTTATTGATCAGGAAGTCTGGGAAACAGTCATGAGAGGCTGGGCTCTGCCCTCACCCTTGTTGGCATGCGAAGGGAACCAGCTCCCTAACTGATCCCAAACTTGGAGCCAGCTGTAGCTGGTCTAGAAACATGACAGGTGTAGGTCTGAAATGGAAGGATCTGACAGTCTATCACTTGGGCTCTAAGAACAAAGCACCTTTTCCATGCAGATCTTTCTGCTCTATATTATGTATATTATGCCATTGGGTCATGACATTTCCAGCTTCTACATTTCCAGCCACCCCTACTTGCTTCTCTCTGCCTCTGCCTTTCCAAAGATACAAGGTTGAAATAAATGGACTCTAAAGAATAAGCTGGAGAAATGTGGTAGAGGCAATGACTTAGTAATTTCCTTGCTCTCTGATCTCCTCAAGGACACAAAGAACAGTGATTCAAAACACACACACACACACAGGCAAAAATAAAAGCAGTGAAACTCAGGGTATGGGACTGCTGAGACTATAGGCAAAGGAGAGCTTGGGGATAAGACAGTAGAATCACAGCAGTGAGCTGCTTACCTGCCTGAGAGGTGTGCCTGTCCAAGTGGGGTGATAATTGCTTTCTTTTTACTCTTTTAAGGAACACCTGGTGTGTCACAGTTTGTCTCATAGGTGATGCTCAAAGCAACAGAAAGGATTTGCATGTGTGTGTTTCTCTCACCTATCTGCTTCTACTGCAGATAGTTCACTGAGTGTTTGAAAATAAGGTTTTTCACAGGAACAAAAAGATAAATTGTTCCTTTGGCCTGCAAATTCCTTTTCAGTCTAATAGGAGTGAACTGAGGGAAGCAGAGAGGGAGAGGACATCTCTGGATGGAAGCTACAAAGAATGAGAAGGGAGGCTTGGGTCACCATGGAGACCCAATTTGCATTGGTCTAGGCTTATAGATAATAATGTTAATGGTTAGAAATGCCTGGGGGCACACACCTGGACCCAGATAAATTTCCCAAAGGCTTTTGCCCTTTTTTATCAATCTTATGACAGGACCAGCTCTTAGGGTTCTTATGATTGTGAGATGCTCTTCAGCAATAGCCATGAGGAAACTTTGAAAGAAAAATGGAAGTTTATGAGTTACAAGACCTGAAAAGTGCACAGCACCTGGGCCACCATGAGGTCTTAGGAGAGGGGGGCCATTGGTAGAAAGATAGAAAGAGAAAGTAATGACCTGGGGTCCTGCTTTTATTGGGACTAGGTCCAGGGTTTCAGAGCTTTAGTATTTATTGCTGGATTCAAATTGTAGAAGCTGGAAAGTAAAGCCTGCAGAGAGAGATAAAAGAAGGGAAAAGGACAAATCCCACCTGCATAGTTATCTAAAACACCAAAATCTGTAAAACAAAGGCCCTTATCTAGTCCTGGGCTGGGAAGGCGTTTGAGTTAGCCCTTTTGAAGTGGATGTTCTTTTGATATGGCAATCTCAGACACTAAAGAAAAATCAACTGTGGGAGTTTATAAGACGGGTCCCAAACTGCAATTGCTTATATCCAAAGCCCATTGCTCTGCTTACCTATCCCACTTTGTCTTCTGTGAGCACCCAAGGCTGCTGCAGGTGGCACCCCAAGAAGTCCTGTGCACTTGCCTGGGAGCTCATAGACCATCCTGTGAGACTAGGCATGTAGAACTGTGAGGAGAGAAAAGCTTGACAAGAAAGGAGGTCATGGGATCCCTACTTCTGTTTGAGGGCAGTGTGGGGGCACCCCGGGAGCCCCAAACTTGCCCACTCTATATGGGTTCTACAGTCTGCCACATCAAGATAAAACATACTCTAGTGCATAAGATCTTTAATGGAAAGGAACTTTAATTCAATTAGTGTGCAATAAAGAGAAGGGAAAGAATAATTAGCATAGTTTTCATACAAAACACCCAAAGTTACCCATTCCCTGGTGGGTAAATGCCCAGCCAAATGGGGTTAGCCCAAAGCAGGGCGCTGAGGTCCAAAACTTGCCACAGGTCTAAGATGCCTTCTGGTGGAGACCCATAGGAAAGGGGCTGAAGTTGCTAAGCAAGTCTGGAAGAAAAAGCAAAAAGCAAAATCCAGATTAAAAACTACCATTGTTAACTTCCGCACAGGTCTCTCAGCCACGTCTGCCTCAAGGGTCTTCTTCCAAGTCCCTGGTACAAGTCCAAGGCTGGGAAGCAAGAACAGCTTCTTCGCATTTCTCTCTGCTCCAAGTGCATCTCCCAGGTCTCCTTCTTCCTTCTTCTGTTGCAGAAATAAATTCTAGCCTTTTACCCAGTCAGAGGAAGAACAAGTGGTACTTAAGGAATGGTGAGGTCAGGAGAAGCTTTATTATTCATGCATGAGGTCCCAGACCTGGGTAGTCCCATAAGGTCTGAGCACTAGTCTAGGGACAAAAGGTTTCTTTTATACAAAACCATCTTACTTTGGTAACATTGGTCAGTGAGCACAAAAGTTTGTGACAAAAGACAGGTATTCAAGGACGCCCTGGGAGATCAATCAGCCTGGCGGCTGTCTGTCTGGCCTTTTTAAAATGTAACCTCCTTTAGGTAATCTCATCTAGATAGGCTTTAGAGAAGCAAAACTTGTTGTTTACATTCACTTTGTGTTATTTACTGCACCAGACCCATGACTCTTTTCGCAGGAAACAGGAAAGATTTCCTTTGCTTAGTAGTTCTCTTTGACTTCCAGTCTCCTCTCCAGCTTCTCAACCTCCCTGCTCAGCTCCACAATTCCTTGGGTGGGCAGGAAACCTGGAACCTCCCCTTTTCCTGGGGACCACCCTGACTCTTCCTGCAGAAGCATAGAAAACAAAATGAGGAAGCTAAAGAAAGTTTGGTCTTTAACAACCCCTTTCGGGGTCCCCAGTGTTTCAGACATTGGCCCGTTCCTGTCTCCCTGCACTAGTCTTTAAGACTTGGGAACTGTTTTCCATCTGGCCATATTTGGAATGCTTGAGTTTCTCAACACAGACTAGTTGATCTGAGCTGGAGTTCATCACATCGCCGGCTTCTTCTCTTCTTTAGACATATTCTTTCTTTGCCATTTTCTCTGTCCCTCCACTTTTCCTTCTATTTTCACCTCTTCTTCCAAGGATAGAGATGAGGCATGAGAAGCAAAAGAGAAGTGGAAATTGTTAAGTCATGGGAGTAACTTGGTGTGTGCTTTTATTTCTACCTCTAGTGCGTCTGTGGACTAACCTCTTTTGGCCTCATTGTCCTCTTCCTATTGAACTAGATAACCTCTGATGTCGATGTTGTCTATGATTGTAATCTAGAAATATATAAGTCAAACCATATAATCAACCATGTGGTGTGAGGAGAGTGGCTGCTCGTGGATCTAAGTGTGTATGATGGTTGAAGAATAACAGCCTCCACACCAAACATGAGAGCAAGCAAGTGTGCAAGTGTGGATTTATTTATTTTTTTGAAGATTTATTTTTTATTTATACAATAGCTGGGGTACAGGCCAGAAGTGTGGGAGGGTGAGAGGATTTGCCAGAGACAGAGGCGGGGAGCAGAACAGAAAGATCTACTGAAATACACTGCTGAGGGGAGCCGCGGGCGAGACAGGAGAGGCCTGCCGTGCCATGTGGGAATCTCCCTGGCTGGCCAGGAATTGAACCCACGCTGCAGAGGCCGTGGACAGCCTCAGAGCGCTGCGCTCAACCCGCTGCGCCACCAGGGAGGCCCAAGTGTGTATTTATTTTATTTTATTATTTTTTTTTTAAAAGATTTACTTATTTATTTATACAAGCACTGGGTACAGTCAGAAGCGTGGAGGGTGAGAGAATTCACCAGAGCCAGCGTGGGGAGCAGAACAGAAGGACCGAAATACACTGCTGAGGGGAGCAGCGGGCGGCAGGAGAGGTCTGCGCGCCATGTAGGACCCTCACCAGTGGCCGGGGATTGAACCGGCACTGCAGAGGCTGCGGCAGATTTGCAGCCCAGCGCTCAACTGCTGTGCCACCAGGGGAGGCCAAAGTGTGGATTTATTGAAGCAAGAGGAAAGAACTCCTGACACCAGAGGGGTCCCAAAGGACGATGCCCGCTTACTCCAGCCGTGTCCATGACTAAATACTGTCAGATTTCCTGTTGCCCAATGTGCCAGACTATTCATTAGGCACTAGGTGGTCGGGAAGTTTCATGGTGGTTATTTTTCTGTTCCCTAATTATCCTGTAACCAGATCTTACACTAGGTAGTGTCTTGCTCAGCAACATTTCAGTAAAACACTTCTGTTTTCCTGGGAGCTGTTTTGTTCCTTCTGTTCCTATATTGTTTAAAATCACTGTCCGATGTCTCAGCCTTTCTTGTTCCCCAAGTTCTCCTGGTCTCAGTTCCTCTCAGTGCCTCAAACAAATTTGAATTCCCCTTCCACCCCAAATTCTCTATGCTATGCTTCCATCTCACCAAGTGGCATTATTTTCTACCATGTTGCTCAAACTGGAGACAAAGGATGCTTCCTAGATTTGTCATTTCCTAATACCCATTCCAAAACCAAGAGCCACACATATCTTGAATCAACCCTCTTTTTATGATAACCCCTGGCATAGATTATTTTGGTTATCCATTACAACACAATGTCAACATCTTATTACTATGGGAGCCTTTTACTCATCTCCTATTAAATTAGTCAAATCTACTTTGCCTAATATGGACTTCTGATCATTTTGCAGCAAGGTAAAATGGCTCTGCAGAATCTATTCAAAACCACCCAAAGTCCTTAGCACATTATAACAATGTTAGTCATTATTCAATTCTGTCTTCATTATAAGACTAGGTTGTACCCAACCAAATAGATTAATTCTCTTCTACAATTTAATTCCTTGCGCTTCCTTTTAAAATAACACATATATTTCATGCACCTGATCCTTCAACCTTGCAATTCTCTCTCCCATTGTTGGTAGAATAGTATGTCCTAAATGAACTCTACTCACTGATGTTTTATGGACTCCACCTCCACTTCCATGCCAAAGAGATTCCAGGCACTAAGGATTACAACTCTCATCATGCCATGGATCTTCACTGATGCAGGGGGCATTGCTGGGAACTAAGGGTTAAGCAGTCATGCTTGCTATAGAATAGAACACATGTGGGCCTGGAGGGTGCTTGATTTTGCCTGCCTTTAGCATGCACCCAAGGTCCCAGCTCAGGTAATATAACTGTTACGGAGCAACCCCGATATAAAATGGGTTGTCTGGCTGTGGGTCCTCACCCGCGCACTTAAAAGAGACTTTTAGGCACACACAGAAGGTTAATAAAAGGTTTACTTGCAAGGGAAAGGGAATTGAGGAAATGTACAACTCAGGGAGAAAATAGGGAAATAAAGTCTTTAATGCGTCCTACCCGATCCACCGAACTGGAACCCCAAAGGCACTCCGAGAGCTGCCTGAGCTGCAAGCTGGCGGAGAGTCAAAAAGGGAATCCCCCAAAGCCCCCGTGTCTGGTTTTATACCAAACCTGGCTGCTTAACACCACCCTCAGGTTCCAGCATCCTTCCCTTTGGTGGTGATGGGATTTGTATTTCCCAGTGTCTTGATGGCTTTGGTCTGAAGTGGGGGTGGAGTCCACAAAGTCTGTATGGAATTAGCTGAATTAGCTTTAGGACATTCTTTTTCCCCTAACATTACCAGTAGGATATATTAATATATTTACCAATTAATCTCTCTCTCTCTCTCTCTTTCCCCTCTCTCTTTCAGTGCTCCCCCTTTTAATTTGGGGGCCCCAGTGTACTCTTCATTCTGCCTGCTAACACCAGGACTGTCCTCTTCCATATTTCTGCCACTGGCAATCTCACACTATTACTTAAGTTTCAGCTCACACATCGCAAACTGTCAAAAGCCCACACTTGCTCACCCAGTCAGCCCAGTGCTGCATCATGCACTCCCATGCTATCTGTACAGACATCCTTTAAAGCCTGTGTTGCCTGCTATCAGAGTTGTTTACATGGTTGTCTACTCCCCTCTAAACTTTGAGAAATGTATTTTCTTCTGTGGAATTCTAGTGCCTAGCAGTAGTAGCACATGGTTGTCACTCTTGAATATATTAATATAATGATGAACAAATAGATAAATAAATGGATAGATGAACTTGGCTTGAAAGTTTACCTACTCTCCTTAGAGCAAAACAATAACAAAAATTGCAAAATCCTGTTCTCTTCTTGAAGCAGGAGTAAATCTACTAACACATGAAGATTCCCCATGCAATGCCTGGCAAATTTAAACACTAAGAAAAATGAAATTTTCTTTCTCTTCTTTCCCAAAAAATGCCTTGATTCCTCCCTGGTAGCCTCATCTTAAATTCTTAAGTTCCCTATACCCAGGATTCACAGAGTAGAGACTCTCATGGAATGTTGTAAATCAAATTGAAAAGTTAAAGTTTTTGAAGAAATGACACTTAAAATGATTACCATTTTAAGTGTTTGTCCTTACTCCTTTGGATTAAAAGCTGAATGCTGTTCCCTTATTTAAAACATTTTAATCATTCACCATTGTTCTTATAATATGATGACTCCCCGCCCCCCAAATATGACCCCACTGACCCCTGGCAATCCAGTCCCCTCCCCTATTCCTTGAGCATCTCTTTGCCACCCTTACCCTATTTCTTACAGCCAACTAGCCCTCTTCATTTGCTTTTGAAGACTATTTTTATCCAGCATGAAGTCTTCTTAATATTTTTTCCCATCTGGAACACTTGAAACGTGGTAGTCATGAGGTTTTTTTCCTGCTTCTGCTTATCTTGCAAGAACAACAAGGTGGGCTTGCCACCATGGGACAAAAATGCCCCTACTCATTTTAAACAAGTGGGAAAAAAACCCTAATTTTTCATAAGCTGATAAGTTGTGTTCCAGAACGCAGGCTCAGAAGAGTGTTCTGTGTCCTCAAGATGTGCTCTGACTGCCCAGACCAAAAATAGCCCTGAAGACAGAACTGAGATGCCTGACTCATGGTTAAATGGACAGCTTTCAAAAGTGAAGGGTGCTCAGTTTGTTGCAGTTCTGTATCCAAATTCAAATTATACCATGATTTAGCAGATAACAACCAATCAGACACTTCCAACTTGCATTTCCATATTTGTCCAAAGCCCCATCCTCGGGGGGACTGATTTCAGCTTTGCCTCCAGTGTCCTGCCACATAACCTTGCATCTGGTTCTTTATCTCAGAAGCTGGTGGCATGGGCTTTGGTTTCTGTGCCATTGGATAGAGGGTCCAAGTTAAATATACTTTCTCAATTTTTGTCACCAGGTAACTCTTGACCTACTCCCCCAAGCCCAGATAGAAACAGATATCCTCATGGAGTTGTCCCACCATCACTTCACATTTTCCCCTTGAAGCCCTTAGCAGAGTGGGACTATCTGGTTCTCTATGAAACTCTTGCTTGTTTGTCTACTATGTGGCTAAAAGATTTATGTGGCCAGAGGCCATATATATCTATGCCCCAGTGTATACTTGTTTGTCACTGAAAGTGGCCCCTGCTAGGTGCTTAGCCAGGAATTGTTGATTGAGGACTGTGAAGCAGCAGCCACAATGTCCTCCTAATTCCACCTGTCACAAAAGAGGCCTGTTTCCATAGTTTAAAAAAATGTACCTCTTAATTTGAATTTGGTTCAGTCAGGCAAGACATAAAATGAGCACCCACTCTGTGGCAGGCTTCCTGCTGGGATTTGTGGGAGAAGTTAATTAAGAGAGCTAGATGGAAAGAGCCCGAGGTGTGGAATTGTCATGTAGAACTCATGTTCTGGCCCTGCCCTGTTCACTAGCCTGTCAACTGGAGCAGGCCCCCAAGTCCCTGTGCTGCCAATATCCTCCACCATAAATCATCATAGCTGTTCAACATGGACCTCAAACTAGAGTGTTAGTGTCTAAAAGGGCCTGGTAAATTCAAAATTTTATGCAACTCGTAGTGACCATCAAAAATTGCTTCCTCTTCCACGGAAGCTTCCATTCTAGTGGGGATGAGGAGAACGGGGAAGTCCACTATGGAACTATTTCAACTATTCAAGCCTAAATATGTTAATTTCTGAAAAATAGAATATAACATATGGGCTTTGGGTTCAGACCATTTTGATTTGTGTAGGGTTATCTCATTTTTAAAATTCTTTTTTTTTCTTTTTCCTTTTCTTTCCTTCCTTCTTTCTGATTTTTTGACCTAAAATTTTATAGGATAGGGGTTCCCCTCCCCCAATTAACCAAGTAAGTGTGGGAATGCTGAGTAAGGGGCCTAAAAATGAGAATCCTAAGGAAAAACAGAGGCTGCAGATGCTGAGTTGACCAGAGAGACAGCTCCACCCAGACTAGTTTGGATCCCTACGGGCCCAGCAGGAGCTTACTGCTCCCTCATGCTGGGTGGGATGGAGGTAGCAAGGCCCACTGAGGCCAGAACTCACCAGGATCTACTTCCTCACCAGGATATTGCCCCATAGTGAGTTCTGTTCTCTCCATGGTGCAATTTTCTCCCTTGGTTCTTTTATTTAATAGTAAATAGCTGCTGTGAAGTCACTATATGTAAAGACTTGTTTTAGACTTTGTGGTGATTACAAGTTTTCCTATAAGACCCAGCCCTGTCATTGTTGCTGGTATTCATGACTAATAAGTGCTACTTATAAGTGACTGAAGTGTGCATAGCACAGGTATCATGCTATGCCTTTGGCATATACTATTTCATTTCAGAGTCACAACAATCCTATGAGGAAAAAAAAAAATTTTTTATCCCATTTTGCTACTGAAGAGATCTGAGTTTATGTTACTCAACAAGTCCCCATGGCAGTGACTGGCAGAGCTGGCATTCTCACCCAGGGCAGATGGCACCAGAGCTCCATTCTTAGCCCATGTGCCACCGTGCTTCTCCTGTTCACCATCTCCTAGCAAAGAAAGGCCTAGTGCAGAATCAAAATTGAAGGCAAAATTGCATAAATATCTCTGAAACAAGGTATATTGAAGGAAAGTGGAGGAAATACCAGGGCTGGGTGAAGAGGGCCAACAACACACAAAGAACATCTGCACAAGTGCCTCTGGCAGAGGGAAGAGTGGCAAAGGCAGGCCACCCGGAGGATATGGTCAAGTGGCCATTGTCGCTGGAGTGGAAATGTGTAAATGATGGAAACAGGAACATGGGGGAGAGGGATGGTGTAGGGCTTCCTTTCAAGGCCACAGCTCATCACAGGGATGAACTGTTATGCTAATACAAGGCTTTCAAGTGATCTCACCAGCTCTCCCAGAAACAGTCTCTTGGGGTAGGAATTTTGGACTAAAACATGGTGAAGTGATGTGACAGCTAACTGCCGGGTGGGTATTTAGGGTCAGTGGAGCTGTGGCTCTGTCTTAATTATGGCTGTGGCTTCCGACACTTACTCCCTCTCTGTTCTGTCACAGCTCTTGCAGGAGGCCACCATGAGTTCTCTCTGGTGCTCGGGGACGGGAGACGTCATCGAGGACTGGTGTCGTTGTGACTCCACTGCTTTTGGAGCTGATGGACTCCCCACCTGTGCGCCTCTCCCACAACCCGTGTATGATGCCTTTTCTCTGCCTGCGTCAGCATTCATCTGCAGATATTAATCTTAGAGTGTCTGCTATTTGCAAAGCAATAGGCTGGGAACTGGGGAACAGGATGAAAAAACAAAAATCAGTACTTGTCCTTGGGGAGCTTCCCATCTTCTGGGGGGGCAGGCACATGTAATAGTGAGGATGTGATTCTATGTGAGACAGCTAATACTATGTGACTAGGGAAGAGGTCAAGTCTGAACTTGGGCAATGGTGAAGGGTTCATGAAGAAGGCGGCTCTTCGACATCTTGAAGGTAAAGATGTGGCTAAAGAGGTGCCCCTGAAACCTATACAGTGTTGTAAACTAATGTTACCATAGTAAAAATGAAAAAAACAATAAGAGAGGTAAAATTGCTGTTGTGATGGAGGGGAGGTTGAAATCTACAGTTAGACTCTAAATAGCCCATCAACACACTTAATGGGTATCAGACACCATGCAGGGCAGTTAGGTGCTGTTATTTAAAGAAGGAGATAAATTCAGATGGGCTGAATAACTTCTCAAAAGTCATCGAGCAGGATGGAGCACATGGCTAAGAAGCTGTGATCTTCCCCATGACTATGGAGAGGATACACAGAGGTGACTTTGGGTAGAAATAATAGGACTTGCTGAATGGTTGGCTGTGTGAGTGAGAAGGAAAGAGAAGTTGAGAATGGACATTAAGATTTATGACCTGGGGTATGGCTGGTCATATGGCCTAAGACCTGAGGCAGTGACCCTTTTGAGCCTCTAGCATGAACTCCGCCATTGAAGTGGAGCACAGAAATATAACATCTGATAGCCCATGGGTTGGTAAGGCAAAGAAATCTGGAAGTGAAGACCTGAGATAAGGGGAGGATTGAGTGAGCAGGAGCAAGATAGAAAGAAACTAGCAAGTGAGAGGCTGGTCTTGGTGAACATTACCATTTGGCTCATTACTAGGAACCACAGTTGGACATTCAAGGACCAGGACGGAGCAGGAGGAAAACTGAGACAGAGGAGAATATGATAGTAAAATGCTAGAAAACAATTTTCTTCTCTGTGTGGGTAGTTTCATATATATTAGTCACGGCTTCTTGCTCTTTACAGCCATTACTTGGACCTACTGAATCAAAAGAGAATTAAGGGTATTATTATTAAAAATCCCCTTTTAGGAAGGAAGCACAATGGACTATGGTGGTGGACTATGGGTGTTTTGATGGTGGGTGTGTTACAGGACAGGGAGAGGGCCACCCCAGGCCCCACAAACCTGTCTGCTGTAAATAGGTTCTGCCATCTGCCGCATCAACACAAAACATATGAGACTTTAGTGGGAAAGAACTTTAATACAATTAGTAAACAATACAGGAAAGGCAAGAATACAGTTTCTAAATCAAGTACCCAAAGTTACCCGTCCCCTCGTGCGTAAAAGTCCACCCAAGCAGGATTGGCCCAGAGCAAGGCCCCAAAGCCTGCCACAAGTCTAAAGCATCTTCCAGTGGGGATCCACAGAAAAGGATCAGAACCAACCAGACAAGTCTGGAAGGAAAAGAGCAAAATCAAAATCAAGACAAAAACCGCCATGGTCACCTCCCCACAGGTCTCCCACCCACATCTGTGTCACCCAGTCCACGACCAAAAGGCAAGTGTAGTTTCTTCATGTGTCTCTCGGCTCCATGTGCCTCCTCCAGGTCTCCTTCTGGCTCCATCCTGCTTCCTTCCTTTCTCCGTCTCCTCTGCAGCTTCTTCTCTCCCTGCTCAGCTCCACCCTCCTTTGGGTGGGGCAGGGAACCTGGAACCTCCCCCTTTCCTGGGGACCACCCTATTACAGGTGGACTACGGTAGCAATAACCTGATGGGGATAACCAAATATTACCTCAATTAAAAAGAAATTATTTCAAAAAGTCTCCTTCTTTGGTAGAAAAGGAGGCACTAGAAGATGGTGCTTTCAGAGTGATTCACGGGCTAAGAAAGTCACCTTTTGACATATGGCACTGATGCCACTGAACAGAAATCCTCAGGTAAACATCCAACCACTAGTATCCTAAGGCTGATTTCATTTCGAAACCTACATTTAATAAATGCCATAGCTAAGAATCAAATTTAGCTAAATTTTCATAAACAGGAAACACCTATTAAGGGCTTCACTTTTCTTGTCAATTCTAATCATTTCTTTCAATAGGAAAACTTAGTTTCTTGCATTTTTATTGGTAGTTGAAAATAGAAATGCATTCTAGTTTTACACAAGTCTATGTAAATCATACACACTCCTATTTCTCAGTAGAGGACGGTCTTAGTTCATATTTTCACGGAATCCAAGTTCTCAGAAAGGCCTAGTTACGTATTTAACTTCCCTATGCTTTTTCTTCAAAATATCACTCTGCATATGACTCTAATTAATGAATTTGTCAATATCCGCACTGTTCTGGGACTAGCCCATCTTTAATGTCATAGGCAAACTATGTACTCCTTCCTAGTAAGCCACTAAAGAGCATGTGTTTTGCATTATTTTCTCACTAGTTGAATTCCTTGCTGTTGCTGCAAAAGCCTCCTATGCTTTCTTACTGAAGTTCTTATCACACTTTATTATAATGCCATATATAGTTGAATGTTTGTTGATCACTCCATGAAAGAAGAAACTAGAGCTGGCTTGTGCAACAGTGCATCAGCGCATTCTCATATGTAACGGGTGCTTAATAAACACCTGTCGAATTAAAATTATCATTGCTTTGGTGTGAATTGGTTCAGTGTGATCCATTCAGGGTACCTTGCCCGCAGATCTTTGAGACCTGTAAAAAGCATCTGTGAGCTGAATGGAGGCTAGAGGACCAAGGTGTCAGTGAGACATGGGAATCAGGAATAGGGGTGAATGGCAGGGATGTGTGTAAGGGAAGGAGGCTGGAGTGAGAAGGAACTGGGAAAGTTCCCAGAAGTCAGTGGTCTAGGAAGAAACAGGGAATTGGAAGCAAGGGAGAAACCTGAGACACAGCCATAAAGTCAGAACAAGGCAGTGAATTGAAACCACTTGGGCCCTTAGGAGATCCATAGCAGTGCATGTCAATAACATTTATAGGGGATCCATGAGGTACATGCAGTAAGAGATGGCAAGGACAACAAAGGTCAAAGTCAACAATTTATAAGGAACAAGTACTCTATGAATTGGAAAAATCCAGAAAATACTGGAATCAAGATATTTATAGAGAGCCAAGAGCAAAAGGAGATACTGAATTCAAAACCTCAGTGAGCTGTCACAAGACATCACCCAGAGGGGAACTGGACATGTGGCCAACTCTTACCCCCTCTGAGTATTTCACCTCCAAACGGAATCTGCCCCAAGGCCTTGTCAGCAGAATGTCTGTTAGTACCATGGGTAGTGGGAAAGCCAGGCTTCCACCAGGAGGGCAGATTCTGGCAATGCTATGCAAACTGAGATGACTGTGCCCTTGTTCATGCAGGACTCTCCCCTCACCACTGTCAGGGGACACTGGGATGAGCTTTCCAGGTACATTATCTTATTTCTCATGAGCAAATGCAGAAATTGTATTTCTAAATCTTATAAAGTGATACCCCCAGAACCCTATCCACTGAGTCATGAGATATGCAGGTATTCGTTCATCTTTGACTCAACTCCTTATTTAATTATTGACAAATAAATGTCAAGTTTTTGATCAGAGATAGGCACTTAGATGAATAAAATAGATTTCAAGAATCTTCAAGGGGTTTACTTGAAGATCTACTCTCTTGTGAAGGAGACAGGTCCTCAAAGACATCATTTTTATGGTTGGTTGAAAAGGTTGAGAAGAGGAAATTTATGTAGTCTCAATTGAGTGGGTGGTGGTGGTGGTATCAGAAGGCCATCCCTGTCACAGTTGTGTCCCTGTTCATGTGTCTCCCTGTCTGCACCCAGGCTGAGACTCTCCACCGTTCACGAGCCCAGCAGCACTCTTGTGGTACTGGAGTGGGAACACTCAGAGCCACCAATTGGGGTGCAGATTGTTGATTACCTCATCCGGCAAGAAAAGGTCACAGACAGGATGGACCACTCCAAAGTGGAGACAGGTGAGCTTCTCCCACTTCATGAACTCCTCTTGAGCCAGAGTGGCAACAAATGAAAGGAAAATGTCCTACCTTCTGGCATTGCTCCAGGCCTGCAGTATCGAGGGCAATGCAGGAGGAGTGTGGGGGAGAAGGAATTGTATTCCCAAACAGCAACCATCTTGTCCACTTCAGAGCTTTTGCATGGCGAGCATCTGACAAAGTCTTGTTTTGATTCTGTTTTTCTTTTTATTTATAAAAGAGGTGTCCGTTTCACTGCCTCTAGGCACACTCACAAAGAAACAACAATACAGTACACCAGTTATCCTAGCCCACAATTAGGAAACAATTCTGTGCTAACCACTGCCATGATTACAGAAAAAAAAAATTCTTTTTCTAATAACCCCCCTCCAGGCAAAAGCATGTGCAAACAGATGCGCTTGCCCCATGTCTTGTCCTAAAGCAAACTCTGTTTTTGTCAGCTCTGGCTAGAAGAGGGATGTCTCTAAGGAGTGGAAACACTCCATGAAAAATAGACCATGCCTTAGTTTTTCACTATACACATAGAGAAAGGTCAACAGAAGTCATCCCTAAAACTTATGCATGAGTGTGGTCACCAATGGGTTGGCGGTGTGCACTACCCAGTTCAGGGGAGATACCATCTGTAGACCTAGCACTAACGCTCCAGGCACAGAGAGCCGTCTGCTGCTTTCCCTGATGTGCACAGAACTGCTAAAGCCTGGCAATGACCCTTGACCAGAACAGCTGTTTTCTACCAGGCCAAGAACATTTCATGAACAATCTCAAAGGTGTGGTATGTACTTCTTACCTTTGTTGTTTCTGAACTAATGGACAAATGGCTCCAACTGACTAGTGAAATATGAAGCAGAAAAGACCATCCCTTCTAGGTATCCTTTTTTTTAAGATTTATTTATTTATGCATACAAGAGCTGGGGTACAGGCCAGAGGTGCTGGGAGGTTGGTGAGAGGACTCACCAGAGACGGAGTAGGGAGCAGAACAGGTGGATTGACTGAAATACACTGCTGAGGGGAGCAATGGGCGAGACAGGAGAGGTCTACTGCGCATGTGGGTTGCTCCCTGGCTGGCCGAGGATCAAACTCCTGCTGTAGAGGCTGAGAATTGCTTCTTAGTGCTGTGCTTTACCCCTTCTACCACGAGGGAGGCCCCAGGTCTCCTTTCTTACTTAGAATTTAAGAAGACTGGGAACTCAGCAGTTTTAGGGCTTGGTTCTCATGGAATTGATCCTCTCTCCTTGTTTCTTGGCCATCACTGTTTCTTATGCCTTTATCATTCCTTCCTGTCTGGGCAGAAACGGTGCTGAGCTTTGTGGATGACATCATCTCTGGAGCCAAGTCCCCTTGTGCCATGCCCTCTCAGGTGCCAGACAAGCAGCTCACCACCATCTCGCTCATCATACGATGCCTGGAACCAGACACCATCTACATGTGAGTGGCACATGCCTGCCTAGTTATTCCTTATCCTGAACGTCACAAGTGTTTTAGCTAGTTCCTGTCTGCTACTCGTTTTCCTTTAGAAACTTGGCCATATATTTAGAGTCTCTCGAGTCTTGTCCCAGTTAGCATATTAGGGGACCTTCTTGAATGTGAGGCTCTGGAGGGGGTAGGATTAGAAAGATAATGTGGTCTTTCCCTCATAGAGTTTGCAACGTATAGGGGATGTATATATAAACAATTATGATCAGATGGAATAAAATAAATGCAAACAGGAGAGCAAGGAACTTATTGTAGAAGAGAAACGAAAGAAGGCATTAAGTCTAACTGGAATAGCTGTCATCTGAATTGGGTGGTGTAAAACTTCAGCAGGTAGAGAAATGTTGGGAAAAGCACACCAGGCTGAGGAAACAGTGGGGCAAAAGGGAAAAGGCTTGAGGGTGAGCAGCAAGTGGCCCAGTCAGATGCAATAGGCAGTGAATAAAAGGCAGTGGAAGAAAATGGGACTGGGAAATAGAGTGAATGCTCCAAGTCAGAGATTATTAAAGTTATTTGTTGGAGAAAAGAAGAGGAACATTAAGAATTGGACTTTAAAAAACTGGTTCCAGTGGCATTGAGAGATAATTTTGTGAGGTTAGAGGTGGTTAGCATTTTTCTTCCAAGAAAAAACAGCGAGTTCCTACGTATCTCAGCCCTGGAACAACCCTCTTTTCTCTGTGACTTCTTCCTCATTTCTCCCTGTGCTCTGGGAACAATTGTACAAATCTTTGTGAAGCAAAGACACAAAAGACACCAAAAGAGGCAAGAGAGTCAGAGAATCTAAGCCATGATGGGAAATTCGGAGGGGCGGGAGAAGAAGAATTTATAGTGATGTAAGTTCTGGGACCTGCTGACCCCATCGGTATGAAAAACATTTAACAGTTTACTGAAGAGGTCACAAGAATAGAGTCAAGGTTTCCAGAATAAATCATTTCCATTTCCACAGTTAAAGAGTTCAGAGATGAAAAGCACTAGAAATGTGAGTGGCATTGATTGCAAGGTGAACGTAGATGCTCAGGCTGAGTATCTTCAGCACAGGAAAAAGGGATGTAGCAAGGGGCCATGCTGGGGAATGTAGAATTATAAAGACAAGTGATATGCGAGAGGAGCTGGAAAATGTATGTTAACATAATGATAATTTCAGGACAAAGGAAAGTCAATCTAGTTCTGATTCCTGTCAGCCACTTAATATTTGGCAGTTGTGGTACTTCATGAGGGGAGAAGGCAAAAGGAACAAAGATTTGAGTTTTGAACACCTCACCTGCTGTAAAATGTCTCAAGCTCGTGAAATTGGAATTAGCTTTCATAAAAAAGCCTCAGTAATTCCTGCCACTAAATCACAAGTGTTAATTAGGATTTTCAAAGTTCCTATGGGCGTGAGACTGGCTAGGTTTTCTGTTGCAAATACCAGCTTTTACTCTCCCTAGCACCCTCCTCATGTTGACCTAATTTGACAATTTTTCCTGATCAAAGACTTGAGGCTGACACCGTCTCTCACTCCTGCTATCTTTGGTGAACTTCCAGTTTTTGCTCTCATGTCTTGAAAGATTCCAATTTTCTGTCAATGTTGATTATGGTCAGGCCTGAGGTGGAGAAAAAAGCAACCTCCACTAGGTGGCGCTGCAGTTCACGTGAAGAAGGATAGGGGCGCCCCTAGGCAAGATGCCACTCTCTGGAGGCGTCCAGGGAAGCCTGAGCTTTGGTCCCTGGGCAAAGGAGATGAGTCCTGGGTGAGGAGTTAGGCGCTCAGGGGCCCCAAGCCTGCTTTTGTGAGCTCTAACCACTGAGTGATTGTAAGCCAGACACTAAAAGTTTCTGCAACTAACTTTTCTTGCCAATAAAATGGAGGCAACAGCCCTCAATTATGTTGTGCTTGCCTTCTGTGGGTGCTTCAGGGGACCCTCGCTGGCCCTGTGAGATTAGGGCCATTCCATTTTAGAGTTGAGGGAACCGAGGTTCAACAACACTGAGTAGCTTTCTCAGAGTCATAGGACTGGCTTTCTGCATGTGGCTGGTGGTTAAGAGTTGAGTCAGGATGTGTGTTTTCTTTCCACACCATGTCTCACTCTCCAGCTATTCAGGTTCTGGAAGGGTCTAGTAGCAGGATCCTGTTACCTCACAGGAAACACACAGCTGGCTCTTCACCTGGGCGCCACAGAGTTTTGTGTCTCTGGCGTATGCATCTTTTTTCATGAATTTAAAAATATTATCCTGAGACGTGGAGAGGGTGTCTAGTCCAACACTATCATTTAACAGATGAGGAAACTGAGGCCGGAGTGAGAGGTGACTTGCCACCCTTCTAGCCCACCGTGCCCTCACCACAACACAGGCTCACAGGGGAGCCACTGCCTTTCTGGCATGTGACAGCAGACAGATAATTCAGAAAAAGACGCCATATTCAGCATCAGCATTCAGCAGAAATTGCCATATCTGGACAGGGAGGGCCTGAAAGTAGCAGACAGTTCACCTTTGATAGGACCCTGAGAATATTCCACACATATCCAGTCTCAGGCCTTTAAGACCTCAGCCCAGGAGCCAAAGCCAGGCTGTGTTGGTACACACATACACCACACACACACACATACACACACACACCATACATTATACACACATGCATCACACACTATACACATCACGATCTATACACACCACAATATATACAATACACAACACACACCACACTTCACACCACAGACGTTATACAAAACATACTACACACCATACACTATACACATCACAAGCTACACATACATCACAATATGCACACTATGCACACCACACATACGCATCACATGCATTTCACAACCACACATACCACACCCTACACAACACACGCACTATACACATCCCATACCCCACACACTAAACATATCACATGTGCACGCACTATACACTCTACACACACCACACACTAAACATATCACATGTGCACGCGCTATACACTCTACACACACCACACACTACACATCCCACACAGATCACACACACTACACACCCGCCACAATATACAGACCACACATACACACCACATACATTTTACAACACAGACACACCACACACACTACACACATCACATACACTATACACCACAGATACACTACACACATATTGCAGACTACACACACACCATGCCCCATACACTATCACATCACACACACTATACACACCACACACCACACACATACTACACTACACACACCACCACACACTAACAACACCACATGCACCACACACTACACACTTCTCACACACTACGCACTTCTCACACACTACACACAGCACTCACACACACACACACACCATATGATTTACAGGCTCCAACTACAGGCTGAACATTCCCAGCCGGGCGGCTGTGGACAGGGCCCAGAAGCTTTGGATGCAGCCGTAAATGTACTTACACATTAGCCCTTGGATCAGGAACAGGGCTTATCTCTTCTGTCCAGTAATTCCAGCTAACCCCCTTACTGTCCTACCAGTGTTCAATGGTGGAAATGATAATGCTAGCAACAAGAGAAGGCCTTCCTGGAATGAACGTTTGTGGCGTTTCCAAATGAAAATCTGGGAAATGCTTCCGGCCTGTATAGAGAAATAAGCGGTGGCTCCTCCAGCGCCCCTCCACCCACAGGGAGGCAGGACTGCCAGGAATGGCTCCTGGGTCAAGACTCTGGGGTCTCTGATAAGAAGACTGCAGGGAGCATTTCCTTTCTTAATACATTACTTTGCTATTAAAAAGAATTAACACTCAGGAACTTAAATTTTACACTAATCGTCCCATTAGGAGAATGTGAAAATTAATTTAAGCATAGGTATTTTCATTTCAGTTCAGGGTCCCCTAGAGTTAGCGCAATTTACAGCAAAAAGGGATGCAAGCTGCCTGCAGGCGTGGGATGAGGATTAGTGCCCACGTGGGTGCTGAGAGAGGGTTCAGCTGACAGCCAATTGAGTACCAGAGGCCAAGGACATTTCCCATCAAGGTTCAGGGAAGCCTCTAGAAACTCAGAGTCCACACTTAAATAATGGTGGGCTACAAAAGGTGGTTGGGAGCAATCTTACATAGTCGAGCTCAGGTGCCCCTTACACACACAGGCAGGCAGCATTACTTAGCCTCTGAGCAGGTAGCAGGGATCCTGCCATGACTTTGACACATGTGCAGGACTCTGGGCACAGGCAAACTGGATGTCAGCCACTGAGACCAAGCAGGGACTCAGGAGTGTGGGCTCAGGTACAGGACTGGGGAGGGGGTAGGGAAGGAAGAAGAGAGCCCAATGGTGAGAACCACGAGCGGGGCCAGGTTTGGGCTGGCAGCCCCATGCCCTCGCTGGCCCCAGGGCATCAGCTGGAGGAACAGCAGGCCTTCTGACCCTGGTAAGAATGACTACTGATAGCTACAACAAAGAGCAGGGACCCATTCTGGGCAGAGATGGACTTCTTATGTACATCAGGGGTGCTTTTGTTAGACTCGCCAGGATCCCAGGGACAATCTGAGTGAGGCTTGTAGGACAGTGTCATGGGGGGCACATTCCTTTCCTCCCCCTAGCATTGCTGTGTGTGCTGTGGGCTCTCTGGGGAGAGGGGCGCATGGGGATGAGAGAGGGCTTTGCCCATGTTTCAGAATCTCAGGCCATGAGACACACAGGTCTACAGTCTGCCCTGGCTCCTTCTGAGTCCATCTCTGAGAACCTTAGTTTAAGAAGTCTAGAGCAGGAGGGCAGAAGAGGGAGCTGATACTACCTGAGAGGGAATTGAGGGACGGGACTGGAAATAGAGCACATGCCAAACAGGGTGGATCAGATGAACCAGCTTTAGTTTGTTGGCCTTAGGGATAATTCTAGAAATAGAACCAAGAGTCTGATCAGGTATTGTGGGTCAAATGCGGAGATTCAGGGATCCAGGTGGCCCAGTGCTGCCCCTGAGAAGCAGTGTGGGGCTGGAGACAAGTCACCCACTAAGGAGGGAGAAGTGGCAGGGCAAGAAGTAGGGTAGGCCCCTGGACGCCAGGTCAGGGTAGTTTCTAGGGAAGAGGGTACATCTGAACTAAGGAGCAAGGCACAAAGCCAAGGCCAGTAGAACAGAATCAGTCCTTGTGTGACAGGAGGGGAACCCCAGGGGAGCTTCTGGTCCCAGTCGGAGGGACAGCAAGAAGGCTGAGCAGCCCTGCAAGTCCACAGGGCATCTCGGTTGTATGCTCTTCACCCAGGCAGGCCCTCCTCTTCCACGTCCCCCTAGCAGGGCTCCTGAGATGGGCCTGCTGTCTCAGTGAGGCCTTGGTGAGCCCAGCAAGAGGACTTGCGGAGGGTAGAGGGAGAAGATGGCTCCTGAATGCCATGTTCTTTCAGAGGGAGTGGTAGATGCAAGTTGTCTGTTCTCTGCTAAGAGAAACACTTATTTCTGCAAGACTCATTAGGCAATTGCTTCTTCTTTCCTACCTTAGCCCATCAGCTGTCTCAGGCCCAATAGCTCTTCCCTGGCCTCCTGTTTGAGGGCATCTCTCTTCCTCTCAAATTCTCTTCCTCCTTGTAACTCTCCCAAGAGGAAAGAACATCCCGACTCACCAAGAAAAGCAGCCCTCCCAACCATCCCCTTTCTCTCCACCCACCCCCCCAACCTGGGAAACTCAGCAACAGAGAGGCAAAGGGCAGGGGTAATGCTTTGCTTTAGACTTACTTGGCTGCTTTGCTGAGGGCCTGGGCATGGACACCAGAGCTTACGCTCATGAGTGTATTTGGATTCACTCTGTGTTACAGAACCTGGGGTGTCGCCCCTCCGTGCACCTCTATCACCCAAGGGGGGGATTTTATATTCAGCCTTTGGACAACCATGTCTTCACACTTTTCTTGGGAGGACTCTTGGAACCGTATCTTGCCATCATCACTTCGCAGATAAGAGAATAAAGCTCTGAGTCACCTATGCCAGAGCTATACTGTTCTCTATGCTATGGTTACATAACATGCAGCTATTGCATAACTCTACATGGCAGGAGCAGAGCTTCAGACCCAGGTTCTGTTCATCAACATAGACACCTGCTTTTTCCTTCACCTTGGTGGTTTTAAAAAAATGACTAACTTCAGAATCACCTTAAGGCTTGTAGCTAATTCCTGGTCCCCAGACCTGGGGTCTCTGTTCTGGGGTGGAGCATGAGGATATTCATAGCGGTCAAGTTCCCAGGTGATGGTGCTGTTGCTGATCTGGGCACCCCACTTTGAAAACCACTATTTGATGTCATGAACTCCCCATCATTTTCTATACCCAAGGCAGCAAATTACAATCCACACACACCAGGAAGCAATGAGAAGCTCCTGAATACACACTTTTGACTTTGGTAGGGGCGCCTGGAGGTTGTGAGAACTGCCAGGAGCAAACCTGCCCTTCAGGCAGAGCTTGACTCTCAGCCAGGCTAGGTTCTTTCTGATAAGGATGCCTCTCCTCCTGGCCAGGTTCACCTTGTGGGGCGTGGACAACACCGGACGTCGCTCCAGGCCAAGTGACGTGATCGTGAAGACCCCTTGCCCCGTAGTGGATGATATCAAAGCCCAAGGTAAGTAGCAGAGTCTGTGAAAGGGTACCCCTCACCCTGAGAAAAGGAGGAGCGAGAGAGTCAAATGGAACTACTGGAGTTCAGTGTGGAAAGGGGAAGTGAAGCCCAGAATAAGAGCATCACCTTTCCTGGAGCACCCCTCAACCTCTTCCTCCAATGGGTACCCCATTGTTCCTGTTATTGCACATGGTCTGTAAGTCACGAACAAGCAGGAGACTCGTGAGGGCCCCAGGTACAGATGGTCCTGTCCCAGGTGCCCTCAGGATGCAAATCTGGTCCTTAACTCTCTTTATAAAGGTTATTTTGATTAAAGCATAAAAAGGCTGCAGAATTGTAATTAACTGCTTTATCACTCCTTCCCTTGTATGAAAAGTGTCAACATCCTTATTCATATTTCAGATTTATTATGGAATTATTATGGAGTTCTTTGGTAAAGAGTGGTCCCTCTTCTGTACACCCTCTTCAGGATTCATCCTTGTCAATTAGGTAGAGTTTGCCTTGAGTCAACATCTGATGCAAAAAAGCTTATTTCTGGGTGATCCCCTGTCCTCATGAGGCTTTCTGGTGGGGCCTAATGTCTCCCCTACTCTGAGACATAATCCTCCTATGACCAAAATTTGCCCTGCGTACCTCTTCTATAGGGCTCTTGTACTAATCAAAGGAAATATCTACTCAGTGGAAGTGAACTGACAGCATTTTCACATTAAGGGAGATATTGGCTGATGCTAGAATTTTAGGTTGTATGAGCCTCAATAGGAGAAACTTGCTGATTCAACTTATATGTCATTCTTGACTCCAGTTGTATCAGGCTGACCACAGGGAACACCATTCCCACCATGCTCAAGGGGTGACACCATGATGATATGAAATCATAGAGGGAAGAGTGACTAGACCTATTTTCATTAAAATCAATGGTACCCTAGCACTTTGCAACTTCTGAAGGGATTTTCACGTCTGTTGCCTTAGTTAATATACGTGGCCCATTATGGGCACTTGTTACTTTCAACACAGAAATCTGACCATATTATGACCCTTCTTGGAATTTTGGAATGGATTGTCATTCCTCTCGAGACAAAGATCAAACATTTGACAGATTTAATAGGACCTAAGTGGAGTGGCCCTTGCCTACTTCTCCAGTGTCTTCTTGTCCACTCTCCCTATTCATCTCTGCATTTCAGCCTCACTATCTTTCTCAGTTCCTCCAGCACACCATTTCTATTTCCTCCACGGGGCCTTTGCACATGTTGGTCTCATTACCTCAAATGCTCTCCACGTTCATCCCTATCAACCCATTATTTCCTTTCATTCAGCAGATCTCAGATCAAGTATCCCATTCTCAAGGCAGAAGGGGTCAAGGCCATTGCTAGATGGTTCATATACCTCATGGTATATGTCTTTTTTCATTAAGACATGAATCTCTGTTATTATAATAGAGATGGTGAATACTCAGAAGCCCACCATGGTCTTAAAACCTGAAAGACAGCACGGTGACTGGTCACAGAAGAACTTAGACTACCTAGGGTCAAATTCCTGCTCTGCCATTTAACTACTTGACCTTGAGTAGGTGACTTCACTTCATGCCTCAATCCACAATATGAGAAGAAAGCGATAAATACACCCTAGCTAATGAATTTCTGGTGAGAATTAAATGAGTGAGTTTGTCTAAAGTACTTAAGTGCCTGTTCTATAGTAAGTGTTCTGTAAATGTTAGGGAGGATACATTCTGGGATTGTGCCCCTCCTAGTCAACCTGATAAACTGCAGCCAGGAGCCATAAATAAAGTTATCTGAAAGTACCAGCAAATCAGCTTGGCCACAATATTGTCTTAGTGAATCTTGCATAACCAAATTTTGGCATCTGTCAATGTCTCTCTAAGAATGTGAGTTCTATAATTAACCATGCACACTGTCTGCTTTCTAAGAGGAATTCAATAGGTATTTCCTAAGTGAACAGACTATTACTCCGTTTTACAGATGCATAATTTGAAATTCAAATAGAATAAATAAGCTGACCAGGATGACAAAGCTAGTATCTAACAGAACCAACACACAAACTCATTATCTGAAACCAATTCCCATTTTGCATATAATATTAAATTAGACATTTAGAGGGCTATTATATAAAAGACTGAAAACCTTTGCCTCTAAATACTGACAAAGACTCATATTTTTAAAAAGTGTTTAAATTGGATAGCAAAATATGACTCCCTTCAGAATTATCATGTCCTCTGAAATGTTACCATAGAGTGGAGATCTTTAAATGTAAGACAGCTGTGCTTCTTGCTGGGTAAGTGCTGTTTGACTTAGAGGGTATAAACTGAGTGACTTTAGAAGATCTCTGCAATCTCTTGATGGTGAAAGCAGAATCTGGGTTGAAAATCTCCAGATGAGAAACTGTCTGCAAAGAACCCGTGACCTCCTTATTTCATCATATGTTGATTTCTTACTCCAAGACAGAGAGGAAACGGTGCCTCTTCTATTTCTTTTTTGGAAAATTTGCAGATGTCCTAGCAGTAGATACCTTGAGCTTGCTTGCAGGCTGTTGGGGTATCAGGGATGCAATTAGCAGGTAGGAGGGATGCAATGGGATGCTACCTACTGCAACAGGAGTATAGAAAGCAGCTCCAGGATAAAGAGCAGGCAAAGTATTAAAGTCGGCCTGGGAGAAACCCTAGACTATTTCTCTATGGGGCTCCTTTGGGTCAACTCCAGTCCCCAAAGTGTATCAAGATGTGCTTCTGCTCACTGTGCTCCACAAAGAAATGATTCTGACATCCCAGCGGACCAGCTGGGGGCACGAGTGGCAATTTAATGCTGAGAGAATGAACTAACATTTCCAGGTTAAGTTATCTTTCAGCCAGGAAGGAGTCCTGTCCAGGGCAAGCATGCCGATTAATGAGTTAGACTAATTGAGGGTATATCCTTGCAAATTAATACAGTTCTGGCCATTCCACCAAAAAAACCAAACAAACAAACAAACAAAAAAAAAAAACAAAAAACACCCTTTGCCTCCTTCAAACCCAGATGGTGATCATAAATATAACTCATTTGGGTCTAAGTTTAAACCTAATAACAAATGGGAATCACCTTTTAAATGACCCAGAACATGACTTCAGCAGGAAACCAATCTCTAGTCCTTATAGTAATGTTTTTCCTCACCTAGACATTTTCTTTTTTTTTTAAATTTATTTATTTATGCATACAAGAACTGGGGTACAGGCCAGGGGCTTGGGGGGAGTGAGAGGATTCACCAGAGACAGAGTGGGGAACAGAACAGGCAGACTGAAATACACTGCTGAAGGGAGTAGCGGGCCAGTCAGGAGAGGTCTGCTGCACCATGTGGTTAGCTCCCTGGCCGGGGGTCTAACTCGTGCTGCAGTGGCTGAGGATAGCTTCATAGGTTGTGTCTTAACCCCTTGTGCCACCAGGGCAGTCCTCACCTAGATACTTTCTATGAAGAATTTTACCACATTATGACACTAATATAAATGTGTAAGTTTCTACAATGTTCTACTGACCGCCTCCCTGGTAAAAAACAACTAGTATTGGTACTAAGATCAACCTTCTTATCTTATCCCCTCTAGGGGAAACCAACAGTCTGTTCTTGAACCAGTCTTCCACAGAGCAGCATGTGGGGAAAGAGGAAGCAACGGAAAAACCAGGCAGGGTTTGTCCTGCCTGTCTCCCCTCACTCACTTTATTATTGTCCTCTCCCCTCGCTCACCTTATTGCAGACTGTATGGCTTATTTGCTATTTTCAAATACACCACCCACCATTGTCTTGGAGCCCCTGTGTCAGCCTCTCCTCTCCCAGGCACGATTTTCCCCAGATATCCTTGCATTGCTTTCCCTCTTCTCCTCCAAGTCTTGGCTCCAATGTCATCTTTTCAACAAGACCTACCATGACCTACTTAAAACTGCAATGACCTACCAAGCACTGCCATTCGTCCTTCTATTTTAGTTTTCCCTACATCTTAATATACTATATTTTATTATCATGCTTATTGCTGAATTGATCATCTCCTCCCACTAGTTTAACAATGCTTTATGGGTGAGAATCTTTGTCAGTTTCTCACTGGTATATCCCAACTAGGCAGTTGAAAAATGTCAAACCTGTGCTAAGCGCTCAGTGACAAGTTTATTGAATGAATGAGTAGAGGCATGCTTCCTCTGCCCTGGCACTATGCTGAAAAACGACTGTATATGTGCTATCTCTTTTTAGTCTCACAATGATTTTTAAAAGATATATGTCATTAGCCATCACTGAACAGACAAGGAAATGAAGACCCAGAGAGATTACATAACTTGCCCAAAGCCACACAGCAGGAGCACAGTGGAGCCCAACTCCATTTGTTGCCATGGAGCCTGTCGATAACAACACTCCTGACTCTCATGGCCTCAGTCCCAGCCCTGTGCCTTCATTTTGCTGCCTGGGCGACTTTGGTTTCCTTCTAATAACTCAGCTTCCTTTGTTTGCGATGAAGTTGTGAGTACAGACTCCATGCCCTATGTTCACCGAATTTTACCTATTCCTGAACAATATGCATGTGAAGGGAAGACAAGTATCTATTTTGGATGACTCAAGGTTTCTATGAAGCTGGGTAAAATGCAAACTAAAAATACCTTTGCTTCTTTTCATTTCCTTGAGTTTGTGAGTTCTTGTGATGCTATCAAAGTAATGAAATAATCTCTCTCAGTTCTCTCAGTGGAGAGAGGAGGAGCCAGCAACACTTATGCTCTCGGAGCCTTGTATCTACATCTTTTTGAATAGAGCATCCCATTTACTAATGGAGTCTTTTAAGCACACCCTGGAGTTAGATTATCTTGGTTTAGGAGATTTATGATGGGACAGGCCTATCCCATCTGGTCCCAGGCACACATGCTGTGGCTAATGGGAAGCATCCTCTCCTCTAGCTGGATATTACTGTGGTGATATGAGAATAGTAAATATGCCAGACAGAAAACACCATCTCAGCCATTACTGTACCTCAGCAGAGACTGTCACAACTGGAGCCTGGGGCCTGGGCTGCTATTTCCCATGACCAAAAATAGAAATAGAAACAGATTGACATCAGTAAAGGGATAGGAGAAGAAACCCCAAACATTCCTATCTGGATTCTGCTCCGATCACCCATATTGTTCCTCTCCTGGTCATTCTTCTCTCAGTATACTCTCTGAGCCTTTCATCAAGCATCACAACTCTTAGAATATTCATTCTGCTTCTTTCTACTCAATTCCAGAAATGACAGTCTCCCCATACTCTTACTAGACTTTACAATTTTGTGGCATCTATGATCCTACCAGTGCAATTTCCTCTAATAGATAGACACCCTAGAATTGCACCCCCAAGTCTATGCCTCCTGTGTCTTAAATTGGTTAAATACTACCAAAACCTAAGCCTCAGTGCAAAATAGCAGATAGATATAGTGTTAAATCTTTACTCTAGGGCCTCCCCCGTGGCACAGCAGGTTGATCGCAGTGCTGTGAAGCTGTCCGCAGCCTCTGCGGCACAGTTTCGATTCCTGGCCAGCCAGTGAGATACCCACATGGCGTGGCAGACCTCTCCTGCCTCGTCTGCTGCTCCCGTCAGCAGTGTTTTCAGTCCATCTGCCTGTTCTGCTCCCCGCTCTGTCTCTGGTGAAATCTCTCGCCCTCCTGTGCCTCTGGCCTGTACCCCAGTTCTTGTATAAATAAATAAATATTTGGGAAAAAATTAAATCTTTAATCTAGTCACACTGGCTATGTGGCCTTGGGCAGGTAACCTGGCCTCTCTCTGAATATCATGGGTTATAAAACAGGAACATCCTACCCACCTTGCAGTGCTGGTGTGAGTATTGTAGCCCACACATGTGAAGTTCTTGGCAATCAATAGAACTTTAATATATAAATGGGAGCCCATACATATTTATTTTCTAAATAATTGCCCTCTTTATCTCTTGATCCTATTTGGACAACCTGAGAGTTTTAAAGTTATGAAAATATAAATGGATATCAAAACTGAAATTATTTTTAGTGCTACTGAAATAGCCAGCTGATAAGAGTTGAATAGCTAAAGGATTGACATTGCCTGATGTGGAGAGATATCACCAAGGACCTTCTCCAAGAGTAGATTCAAATTGCTCCCAAAGTCATGAGTTCCACTGATATAGCTCACATTCTATGATCTACTGTACTATCTGCTCTCTGTGAGCCACGCCGGACATAAGGGAGTTAGGGCTGCCTCCGATCCTCAAGTGCAATGGGCAGGGAAGAAAAGGAAAGAAACTGTAATGTCTTGGACAAAAGGTAGACATTTTATTCATTCCAATCCAGGAAACTTCTCTACTGATGACTTTTGTCATTTCTAGCAGCCGTGAATTCACTTAGAGTTATGACAAGGAATCAGGTTGCTGTGCTTTTAGGCTAACACGGGGTTGAGTGAGAAAAGTTCTGATTGAGGAGTTTGCAGACTTAGTTTCTTCTTTCTCAGATTTAATACTGAGTGGGGGACAAAGCATTACTGTCCAGGTCTCCTGTTTCCAGCTGCTTAGGAAGGAAATGTAAACAGGTCTCCTTTCTGAGAGGTTTAATGAGAAAATCTTTAATGATAAAGTGCTTTTGAGGCCTGTAGGGAAAAATGCCAAGACTATACAAATGTGTTGCCACTTTGCCACATCACCAAGCTCAGTCTTATAATGTATGACTTGGAGGAAGAAATATAAGAGATATAAATTAAACCAAAAGATTACTCATTTGGAGCTGCAGTATGGATGCTGAATTCAATTTATGTGTCACCTCAGATCTGCAAGCTTAGCTTCCGATCTCTCTGGGCAGTCTGAGCAAAACCTCTGCATGCCTGCAACCTTGGGACCAGCTTGCTTTCGACACTGTGGCCACTCCAGGCCACTCCACGCAAGGCGTGATCAAGTGTCTCACTTCATTTCTGAGCCAAATGCCTGCCTCTGCCGCCCAGGCCTTCCATATTGCTTTTGCAGGAACCACTTGGTATATCCAAGTGCATGCAACCTAGAAGTGCAAAGGTGTTAATGCCTCATGGGGGCAAACATGAGACATCCCCATGGACCAATAATGAGTGGGAGCTGGAGATAAAGTCTCCCATTCTCTCCCTGGATGGATCAGGGGGGTATCCAGTAGCTTCAATCATCCTCTCCCGAGAACCATAGCTTCCAATGCCTTAGTCCATTCCCTTGCATGTACCCTGCCTCCTTTTTTGCCTCATTTCCCTCTGTCCTCCCTTCTGTGCTCATGGGATTACACTTGCCAAGAAAGTATCACTTTATGAGTTTTTGCTTCGGGCTCTGTATTTTCAGGAAAAAGGCAAAGTATTTTAACTGAAAGTGACCGTAGAGATATTCTGTTAAAAGATTCCTTTTTATACAAAAGAATACTGATAACTATGGGACAGAGGTCAAACGAATGACTCAAACCAATTTCTCCAGGTTCTAAGTTCAGTATTCTTTGAGTAACATTACATGCACACAGGTATCCATACCTGCATTATATAAATGCGTAAATGCATCTATGATCATTTATATGTATGTCTATGTACCTATCTTTTATATATGTGTTTGTGTGCATATATATAAAATCTTATTTATTTGTCTTTTCTGACCTCAGAAATAGCAGACAAAATCTACAATCTCTTCAATGGCTATACCAGTGGGAAGGAACAACAGACAGCCTACAATACCCTTCTGGATCTGGGTTCTCCCACCCTACATCGAGTCCTCTATCACTACAACCAGCACTATGAGAGTTTTGGAGAATTCACCTGGCGATGTGAGGATGAATTAGGCCCCAGGTGATCAATAAATTTCATCATCTCTTTTAAAGACCTTAGTGTGCCTCCTGCACTATAATACCACATCCATGAATTTGCCAAGTTTTCTTGGCTAAGTTTAGGTGTTTGGAGAAGTAAGTTCTGTGCTTTCCGACAGCTTCATTCATCCATATTAGTTGAGGACAAGCTGTGTATAAGTAATCAAGCCATGAATTCATTTCTGAAACTCTGAAAAAAACCTTTGCTCTTGATCTGTTCTACCCAGATCACACCTCCATCACGCTGACACAGCATTCCAAATGCTAAGATGGTAGAAGCCAAAAACTTACTCTTGGGAAAGAAAATTAGGAATTTTAATGAAAAAGTTATCCAAAAATATTTGTTTGTATGAGCTTTGCATGTGTTATCCATCAATCAGACATTGTTTGAGTTAAATTCCACATCCTCTTAAAAAACAACATGGAAGTAATGGAGGTAGCAATCCACCTTGACATATGTCCTGGTTGCCTGTCCCTGATCTGAGGCTGCCCTTCTTACACCCAATACTGGCTGCTTTGAGGTGGCACCACCTGAAAGAATTCTCAGAAAGAGAGGAATGGGAAGAATGGGGAGAGCAATCACTTTTTTTTGTTTGTTTCATTTATCATGACTGTAATTGCTGCTTTGAGAAAAGCAGATTTCCCGAGACATATTGAAATTTTTAGGTACACATGGTAAGAGGCTTTTCACATGGAAGCCTCTGGACTGAGGTTGAAGGCTTTGAGAACAACATTGGTTGCCTTGCTACTAAGAAAGTAGAAGGCTGCATAGTCTCTGAGTTAGTGAAGGGCAGGTCCAGATTAATTAGTATTTTTTTTTTAAGAGTGAGCAGTGAAAGTAGCTACAAAGCCCTCATGGGTGATTAAATCCATGTGTTTGAAATGATGGCTGGGGTGGTTCCTTTATCCACTTCTTGAAGATGATGCAGATGCTGCCTCCCACCCCCTGGCTCCCCCTTCTTTCACCTCGTAAGAATTGGTCAGCCACTCATGACATGCAGCTGGGCAGATTAAAAGGAAGGGCCACCAACGTCCCTGCTGATGACGACTTTTGGAAAGTCTGCTTGGCCAAGTCGCAGAGGCTGGTAGGCAGAGGAGAAGCCATCTGCATAAGATGCCATTTAGTCGGCTGGGAGAGTGTTTGTTTGATTTCATTGGACCCACAATGGAAGTTGGAGAAAATACCAGTGGGCCCCTCCCTTGACTTCACATTCTCTTAGGCTCCTGGTCCTTGCTGCTGAGGCTCAACACCTGCCCCTCACCTCCTCTGCACCCCTCACTCCCAGTATGCCCTCCCAGGAATGTGGTGACCTCACCTCTGTGATGCTGATCGCCAGGACAGAAGACAAGAATGAAATGAATGTGTTATTGTTTTTTGAAGGCTCATTCTACACAGGGTGAGGACTCATCCAGTTTTTGGAAGAAATTGTTGATGACATCAGAAAAGAGATGGTTCCTCACACAAGAAGTTAGCCTAACAGTTGATAAATGCTGCAAGGAGTTACTATTCATAGAGCTTTCCAGATTAGCATTTTATAGACTCGCATAAGCTTGTACAAATTAGAGAATTTTCCTTCAAAGCTCTCTGGTCACTTAGGTCTTTTTTGTTTTTTTTGAAAGATTTACTTTATTTAGACAAGAACCGGGGTACAGGTACAGTCCTGATGTGCAGGAGGGTGAGAGGATTCACCAGAGACAGAGTGGGGAACAGAACAGGCAGAATGACAAAATACACTGCTGAGGGGAGCAGCGGGTGTGACAGGAGAGGTTTGCTCACCATGTGGGTTTCTCCGAGGCCAGTGGGGATCAAACTGGCACTGCAGAGGCCCCGGACAGCTTCACAGCACTGCGCTCAACCACCTGCACCACCAAGGAGGCCCCACTTAGGTCTTTGATGAATACAAGGAACCAGTGAGGAAGGAAATCCTGTTCCTTTATTCACTTGACGTTTTCAGAGTCCAAGCCTGTGAGGTCTGAGAACTGACTGAGGTAGTCCTTATTGCTGACACTAGAAATGGGCACTAAGAAACCTATGCATTGGTGAGATTTATCATGTGACAGCCCCCTCCCCAAGTGCCACGCAGAGGCCACCACTGTCTATTCTTGGCATAGAGGATGGCTCCTTTCTAGTGAGCGTAGATTTGGGGCAACCTTGCTTTCCTCTGCCCCTTCCTCTCTCAGGGATCTGCAACAGCTCCAGTGCCATCTGAATCCCTCCTTTCTACACTCTTGATTGCAGCCCAATGAGAATGGCCTCCTGACTTTCTCGGGGAGGTGATTAGGTGGTATGACCACTGAGAATGTTCATTTTCTCAAAGAATGATCCTGTGTCAACATGAACTGAGGATACTTTTATCCTTTTCCTCATTACACTAGAATTAGCTCCACACAGGCATCATAGGCCACATTTGATGGTCGCTGAAATTCAGTATATCAGCTGCCTCTACTCAGTTCAGAAGTAACCTTGAAAAGGGAAATATTTAGTCAAAGACAACATTTGTCATTTAGTGATGACAAATTACTGGCTTTAGAGAAAATTTATTTGATTTGTCTTTAGACTTGCCAAGTGTGTGATTTATTTAAGATTCTAAATTTCCATTAGAATAGTAGCTGTATTTTCTTCTTTATTTTTCCCTATTGCTTTTTTGTGTCTTTATTTTGTATTTATACCTGCTCCACTTTATACATCTTTCCCATTCCTTTACTCATTAATTCACTTGACAAGTATTTATAGAAGTCTCTTTTTTCCTAAGTGCCAACCATAGAACATTAAGCAAAACACTCCAAGCTCTGACCTCCTGGCATTTAAGGTCTCACCTAATCATAGCTTTTTGTCCTTCCCCACCTGCTCTCCTTTCTAATGCTAGTATCCTCCATGTTTGATACTTAGGAAAGCTGGTCTCATCCTCTCTCAGCTTGGGGACCTCAGCAATTGGTGCAATGGACTCCTTCAGGAACCCAAGATCAGCTTGCGACGCAGCTCCCTCAAGTACCTGGGCTGCCGCTACAGCGAGATCAAGCCCTATGGACTCGACTGGTCAGAGCTCAGCCGGGACCTAAGGAAGACATGTGAGGAGCAGACCCTGAATGTTCCCTACAACGATTACGGGGACAGCAAAGACATCTAGTGCCACAATGCCTGAGAGCAGCTGCTGAAAGGAAGCAGGAGAGATGAGGGGGACATCTGGATTTTTGTGTGAATTTTTAATATTTTTAATGGAACATTAAAACCTCGGCAGGCAACATCTAAGGGAGAAGGTGATCCCTGCTCCCCGCTGAACTCCTTCAGTGTGATGTTCTCCATCTGCATGACCGGTAAACTCCCCCATCCAGCAGCTTCACACAGTGCCATTTCTCTTTGGGGGCTTAATTTGGAGTTTGTTTTGCAGTTGATTTATTTAATTCATTTTCCTCAAGAGCTTCATCAGAACTCTCGAGTGTTCTGTCATGCTTTTCACGAAAGATCCACCAGGTTGAACCACCTTGGGCTCACTGGGTTTTGAGTCCATTACATCTGGGGACAAAGATGAGACCAGAGAGTTGTTAGACCAACCTCAGATCCCTGCCCCAGGCAAAACTCAAGAAGCAACTCACTCTGGGATCCTAGATCCTTTTCACAGAGAAATACAAGAAAACTGAGCATGGGCCCCTGTGTAGGTCTCATGGATTCCCTCAAACCCCGCCCGCCTTTCTATTGCTATCTTCACACCTCGCAGGTTTCCCTACCTTGAGGGTGGGAGGGGCTCCTACATTTTAAGGTCTTCCCCTGTTTTAAGACAGGACTGGAATCAAATGTCCCTCCAGCAGATCTCTGTCCTCTCCTCAGTGTCATCTTTTAAGAGACAAACTATCGAAAGCACCTAAGAGATACCTGCCTGGGAGATTAGTTGGCTGTCCACATTCTAGAAAAGAAGAGGCGTTTGTTGTTTTATAAAACACTGGTGCCTCCAAGGTAAACTTCTCCAGACCACCAGTGTAGATCTCGTGCCTGGATGCTTTGTAGGTCCCCTGCCTCATACCTGGACAGCTAAGGCATTGTTGATGTCTGCTCTGCTCCAGGTGAGATCAGTACTCCCTGTCATTGTTTTAGTGAACTAAAGTCATTATTGATCACAAGTTTCCCTCCCCCACCCTCCTTGCTAAATTTGCTTAATTATGTTGCTGCTTTTGCAATCATCTCTCCAGATAATCATCAGCAGAAGGAAGCCGCCATTTTCACCTCCATCTAATTGCTGAGAGTAGCAGAGGATCTGTGTAGGCAAAATCCACTGACCAGAGTAAGGGCCAGTCATGGTTTCTGCCCCCCTGCCTGAAGGTGGGGACCAGGCTGCTGGGAAGCCCAGGCTTTCAGAAGGGGACACCCAGGTTTGGGGACCAGCAATGGCCTTAGCCTTCCCTACATACCTCAGAGCCTGAACACATATTTTCAGCCACCCTGGCTTTGACCTAGGCTCCTCATTTGGAAACATAAGAGAAAGGTCAGGAAGGAGATGCAGGATCTGTGAGGTCAGTCACTGTGCTCTACTGAGTTTCCTTTCTAAATATTAACAGCAACACATTGATTGAGTGTTTACTATGTGCCAGGCATGCCCTAGCATTTGCCATATATTGCTGAACTCTCACCCCACCCAGGAGAGTGCTGTTCTCTAGTCCACTTTAGTGAGGGGAAACTAAGGAAAAGCCAACTCTTCATTACTCTTGCCTGAGCTACAGGTTGTCAGACAGTCCAAGGATTTTAACTCCTCTGCCATCCTCTGCATTGTCCACAGTATTGCCTGAGGCTGGCAGCTGTCTGAGAACTAAGCTCCACAGGGGATCTGCCCACGGGCATTCCCTTTTGCGGAGCTCCCAGTGCAGAAGCACCTGCCTGTGTGGTGGTCAGAGCAGGAGCCCGAGTGCCCCCTGAGCCTCTGCAGAGAGTGCCCCTTTGGAGCCACTGGGTCTGCAGCCCAGGCTTAGCCCTGGGAGCCTGGGCAGAGCCTGGAGCAGGACTGCAGCCACAGGAAGCTCTCACCCCCTTTTGGAGTCCCTCCCTAGAAAGAATGTCAGGCTTATTTCACACTGTGGAATCCACCAGTCTTAGAGATGACCCCATTCTTGAGCAAAGGCTAGCAGAAAGCTGTACACCTGTGACTGAGGCAGAGTCTCAGGTAAAATGCCTCGAGGAACAAGGTCCTCACCATTTGACCATCCCCAGAAGGGAGGATGCTGCAGACCCCCAATCACCCACTGGATAGAGGCCCCAGGGGGCTGTCTTTTACCACCACTACTGCATTACTGACTTTTTATTCAAATCTTCAAGGAAAGCAGCTTCTAGCAGGTTAGCGGGGTGACACCAAGGCCACCCCTATCTTCCCGCTACCCGGGGGTGGGGGGGGGGCGACATGGAGCTGGTAGGCAGGAAGGAGGAAGGAATGATGCCCTTCTTTGTCCCCTCCTTCTGCTTTTATCAAGATAAGAGGCTCGCTAACTCCGCGCCTCCCTTTCTCTTCTCCCCTCTCCCAAGTCCCCCCCACCTCTTTTCATCTACTCTTTCTCTCTTCACCTGTGTGTGACCCTTCCTCCCTTCTTCCCTCCTCGCCAGGATTCTCTTTCTTCTTCCATTTCCTGTGCCCTCCTCACTGCACACATGTGCACACGCACCACACACACACTGTGCACACACACCTCATGACTGCACATGCCACACATACTACACACACTGCACATACTACACACCATGTACACATATGCTGTATATGCACATAGACGTGCCACACATGCCATACACACACCACACTTATACTCTACACACAATATATACACACCACACACCACACAACTCTATATACATACTTTATACACATATTATATACACGTTGTGCACATATGCTATATATGTGTGCTGTACACACCACATACACACTGCTCACACTATACATACACTATAATTACAGCGCAGACATACCACACAAATGCACTACACACGTTATACACAAACTACGCACACCACACACATACTCCATATACTCCACATGCCATACATACAGACTGTGCACCCAGCCTTATACCTGGATCCCCTTTACTTCAAAGTTAAAAGGAAGGCCACTGTGAGTGGGGCAGAAAGACATCTTGGGATCCCCTAAGGCTCTAACTGCAAAACTTCTGCTCTAGGAAGACACTATTGCCCACACCATAACGACATTCCCCAAAGCATGCCTGGAAGAAGTCATTCTGACTAGAAAGAGGTGGTGGGACTAGACCAGTATTAAACCCTGAGCTTCCACTCTGCCAAACAAGTCTGAGTCGTTTCTGTCCACCGGCCTCTGCCTGTGTCGGCTCCCCCTAGCACCAGTTCCTCTTGAATGTACATGACCCACTGTCATAGCATTAGACCTCTAACTGAGTGCAATCAATTTCCATGGAGTCTGGTCCACTCATTTTTATTTCATTAACCACACTTCTTGATATTCAAATGTTCTATTAAAAACTGAGTATGAAAAGACCCACTTTACTACTGTAGAAGGAAGAAAGAATTAGTGTGACCAACTTCAGGTGTAACAGTATTGTTGAAAAGAGAATTATTGTATGATTATAAAAATGGAATAATCAACTAAATAATAAACAAAAATGTTAGTAAGGGTTGGGTGTGTTGTTGTTACCTGTGTCTTTCAATCATCAGAGTGATCTGCTTGGACCAAACAGAGAACTCTAAACATTTTTAAATGTTACACTTTAGATGATAAACACATGGGCCTTAGAGCCCATCATCCTGACTAGAAAATAAAGTTAAATGCTTCACAGCAGATTATAAACTTATTGTTGTGTAGTAGTGATTCTCACCTTCTCTGTACCACCATCCAGATAACAAGAATCATGCATTGCTTGCCTGCTGCATTGTGGACACTGTGAGGTGGAGAGGAAATGCTGGTGAACAGGACAAGCTTACTCTCTGTATTAGAGCATGACATTGTGTGGGGACAGTTAGATATGGAACCCTCCATTAGTGGGGTGAAGAGAACTGAGACAGAAGTATAGCATGCCATGGAAGTTTCTGGAATTTATGCTTCAGTTATTTAAAAAGCATGTAGCAAAAGGCCCTCTCTGCCAAATTCCTGTATTGCCTTCTCTAGAAGCATTGGGCTGGGTTGGGAATTATTAAGGGCTCCCTGGCAGGTAGTCCTGAACACACAATCTCTTTTTTTCTCTGTACCATGTGACACTAAATAGATGTTTTCTCCTCTGTCGCCAACATATGGGATTCCCTCTGTTTTCAATAACTAGACATTAAGTACTGGGCACTTAATAACTTCTTTTGAAAAGTCCTGATAAAGGTTGGCATTTGTGTACAAGAAAGAACTAGAAAAGAAAATGTAGAGTGTGGTAGTTTGAAAACACAACCATAAATTCTTTGACAACTCTTCCATCTCCAAGTGTGTTCTGTTGCCTCTTCCCTTGAATCTGGGCACGTTTATGACTATTTTCACTAATAGATTATGATGGAAATGACACTATGTGTCTTCCAACTCTGCATCATATAGGCCTTGAACTTTCTGCCTTTTCTCTGGAAATCTTGATTCTTTTTAAGATTTATTTATTTATGCATACAAGAGCTGGGGTACAGGCCAGAGGTGCAGGGGGTGAAAGGATTCACCAGAGACAGTGGGGAACAGAACAGGCAGACTGACTGAAATACACTGCTGAGGGGAGCAGCGGATGATTCAGGAGAGGTCTGCTGCGCCATGAGGCTTGCTCCCTGGCTGGCCAGGAATCGAACTCATGCTGCAGTGTTTGCAGATTGCTTCATATGTTGCGTCTCAACCCCTGCACCACCAGGGAGACCCTGGAACTCTTGCTTCTTAATAAAATTCTGAACTACTATAAAGAAATTTTAGGGCAACTTGCTGCAGGAGTTATAGGTAAGCACTCTGGTCCCCTGTCCCAGCTGAACCCAGCCTTGGAGACATTCCTGAGGCATCAGACACATGAATGAGATTGTGTTGGCTTCTAGACTCATCCCTATGCAGTGGTGAATATCACCCAGCAACCTCATCAATGTCACATGCCAGAGAGAATTACCCTCTCAAACCCTGCCCAAATTCCTGATTCCCCCCCGCCCCGAAGTGATGAAGCCTAATGAAATGGTTATTGTTTTAAGTCACTAAGAGTGGTCTGCTAAACAGTGGGCATCTGATTGTGAGTCAACAGTATCTATCTCATCCATCCAATGTTAGAGCATCAGGTAAGTCTTGTTCCAGCATGAATTCACCATGAAGAAGAGAAGAACTTCTACGCTGGCTATACAAAAGCAAAACATTGTTCTCTTCAACAAAGTGAGTCGTCTCTGCTTGACAGAGGAGAGTGAAAAGAAGTCTGGGTTGCACCATTTCACACCTTCTGTGAGTGAGAGTGTTGGGAACTTAGGTGAAACCTTGGGAAGAGATAATTTTCTGGGGCCAGCAAAAGAAATCAGAGGGAGAAGACAATGTAGGACAAAGAAGAAATGTGGGGAGGGAAGGATTTCTTGCAATTACTTTGTTTTGCCATCCCCTGCATTTGGGATTTCCTGGATATGATTGTGCAGACCCCCTGCCCCACATGATGTGCCGGGACTGGGCTAAAACACTTCAACACCATAATATCCCCCAATCTTCAAGTCTATGAAATCAGTACTCTGAAGAAAGAGGAAGCAGAGTCTCAGAGACTTACCGCCCAAGTTCACAGTGGACTCGCTCTTTTGTCTGTCATGTGAGGACAGTGCAGAGCCAAGAAATCATGTGACTAGGTCTGGAAGTTCAATGTAGTAGTCTGGGCTCTCTCAGTTCTTTTGAGCAGTTCTGTAATTTCTGTGCCTTCACCACCACACCCAATGCTAGAGTGAGGACCTGGAGACAAAAACCACCTGCCCTTCCAGACAGTGGAGCCTACAAGTTGATCCAGGAAACAGTCCTGTTGTCAAAGACCTGCTGCCTCCTAACTGTGTTCCCACCATCAACTCCTATTTCACTGTCATTTCCATGGAACGATTTAACAAGCATTTTGTGTCTAATGAAATCTCACTGTTATACAGAATAGGCTAATGATTTCTCTTGATAGACATGGAAATCTAGGACTTGGCTCATATCTGCACTATTCCAAAGTGAGAATAAAAAAACAAAACCTCTTTGTTCCAGAACTCGGCAGTGTGTGCTATAATTGGGCTGACTTCCAGGGGGATGGACAGGTTTTGATATCATATTTCCTCACCCAACTGCCTTTTGTTAGGGTTTGTGAATACACCGGGTACAAATTAGTGTAATTGATTTCTTGTTGCCTTTCCAGTAGGATAACCTCAGCCATGCTCCATGCTAATAATTAGGAGCACTGTTTTTTGTTTGAAAGGATTCAAACGTCAAGTGACCCTGAGTCTCTTGCTGTCAATGAGTCAGAGAGTGACTTCTCCTACCTACCAAGTTCAGGATGAAACCACCCCCCAACCCTGTCATGCCCTTTTAATGTCACAGGACTAAGTGCCTGTGGCTAAAACTAAGATAGTACATCCCTTCAGTGCCATTTTGTCCTCGTGACTGCTGAGTGTATCACAGCAATGTACATACTCCTCAAAAACCTTTGTTCTCACATTTGTTTCCCAGCCTTCTCCTGCTCTGCTCTGTGTGACGCAGAGCTGACTCATGCCAACTATCTCTCCTTGACCCCCTTGTCAACTGGCTGTCCTCTGCAGTGGGACTATGAGGGGTACGTGTGCATGGTTGTAGGACAGAAAGAGGGAAGAGCAGAGTATTTTTCCACTCTCAGGCCGATGGCCTCTCCAGCTTCTCCCCCAGATGCCAGAAGCCTTTGTGGCCTCAGAACTCCTGCAGCAACACCCACCAGGTTTTCAGCTCCTTCAGGTGGCTTCAATCCTGAGTTCCCTATCACTACTATGTCATCCCTCCCAGCAGGAGCTGCTTCCTGCTACTGCTAATCACAGGTTGCCCGTAATTCTCTCAAGGCCCTTTTTTGCTATCCTAAAGCCTTTCTAATTGATTTCCCATTTTGAATTTTCTTGAAATAGCTAAAATGTGGTCTGCTTTCCCTACAAGGTCTTAGCTAATATGCACTTGGAACTGAAAATTATTACACGTTATCTCCCATGGGATTTTTGTGATTCTTTAGGGACTGACTCAGAATCTGGAAGATGAAAATTTGAAGCCAAAAATGAAAAAAAAACCGTGAATACCAAGATTGATTATAGAAATACAGAATAGATCTCCAGGGGAGTGATAAAGATAATCAAGGGGCTGCCTGTGATTTGAAAAGGATTTGACGATGGATCTGAACTTGGCCCTAATGAGTGGTGAACTCCTTGATCAGGGCCTGACATGCGTATGGAAATGGTAACAGCAAGATGTGTACTATGCATTTGTCATCCCTAATTTATAGTTATAGAATAGGCACAACATACCTGAAATCAGGATAATCCAAGAAAGATATATTTTGTAAGCACCATATCATGCTTATAACTTATAACACATGTAAAAGTGAAGGTAGGTTTATTGAGTGCTTAATAATAGAAATAGAGTGAAGACAAAAAGTACTTTTCTGAGAACTTCTAGTCCCTTTAATACACGATCAATTTCAGCAGTCAGTGTTCTGAACTGTCATTTTCACTCATTTTCTCTTCTAAATCTCATTTTAATAGACTTCGTGGTGTGGATTAGGTGTCTTAGGTGACTTAAAATAAAAGATTTCAAAGTTTCCATCTGTTTCTACCATGTGGTCAGGGAATCAGTTAAGATCTGGTCAAGATTTCAACAAAGAATTTAATATAGTGATTGGTGAATGGACATTGGAGGTGCAGAAATATTTGAAGCATTGGGATAACAGAGGTATGAATAATAAACGAAGGAGTCAGCTACCATGCCTAAGGTTCAGAGAAGGAAGGGAGGAAGTTGGTTTAACAGAAACTAGATACCCTTGAGGAGGAGAGGCTATTTGCCTAGAACTGGGATTTCACTGTTCTAAATGAGGCTAGTTGGTTAAGTACAAAAAGATGAGGGAGGGCCTCCCCTAGTGGCGCAGCGGTTGAGCGCTGTGCTGCGAGGCTGCCCACAGCCTCTGCAGCGCCGGTTTTATCACGGGCCGCAGGCAAGTGTCCCACATGTCACGCAGTCCTCTCCTGCCGCGCCCGCTGCTCCCCTCAGCAGTGTACTTCGTCAGTCTGCCTGTTCTGCTCTCCACTCTGGCTCTGGTGAATTCTCTCACCCTCCCGCGCTTCTGACTGTACCCAGTGCTTGTATAAATAAATAAATAAATCTTAAAAAAATTAAAAACAAAAAACCAAAAAGATGATGGTGATTGGAACAAGCTAGTGTTGTGACAGTGAAGACTCTTCAGATGGATCATGCTGATTTGAACTGCGAGCCAATGCAGGAAACAGTCCCCACATCCCCTTCCTCCTGCCTGCCTTTGTCTAGTTCCCCTGTTGGCAAAACCTAGTGTGGAACTGACTGACAAGAAACCAAAGTCGGCTGTGTTCCTACAACTGTAGCACAAAGCAAAGTGCAAAAGGCTGGGTTTGAACTTAGGGGCAATAACTACATGCAATCTGAAGATGGCATAAGATAATGCTTCTGATAGCACTTAGTAGGTTGCCTGGAATACATCCAGTACATGGTCAAAAATTAGGTATTCCATGGCCCTCTTCATTGTTCCTTAGATGCTGAAATGGAACCAAATATGTCACCCATATTATCCTTTTCCAGTTGCTTCTCTTGATACTATTATAGCGCCCCATGAAAACACACTGCAAGTTCACATTATGCATCCTTTGAAGGATCCTTAAGAATTTTTCAGATATTTGA